AGAGAGAGCATGAGGGGTGGGGAGGGTCAGAGGGGGAATCAGACTCCCTGCTGAGCAGGGATCCTGATGCAGGACTTGATCCTGGGACTCCAGGATCATGACCTGAGCCAAAGGCAGTTGCTTAACCAACTGAGCCACCCAGGTGCCCCCATTATAAACATCTTAAGGGACTCTGGGGTATTCTCAGTTTGGTAGAATTCTGATACTTTGGGTTCTGATATTTTAGAGTATTTTTCATTGGTATTTGATCTCTGGTTGTAAAGCAATGGACAGTATATTGTTTTGCAAAGAACCTTTGTTAGAGATGATTAAAAATGTTTTTCTTCGGGGCACCTGGGTGGCTCAGTTGGTTAAGCGTCTGCCTTCGGCTCAGGTCATGATCCCAGGGTCCTGGGATCGAGCCCTGCATTGGGCTCCCTGCTCCGCGGAGGGCCTGCTTCTTCCTCTCCCACTCCCCCTGCTTGTGTTCCCTCTCTCACTGTCTCTCTCTCTGTCAAATAAATAAATAAAATCTTTAACAAAAAAAATGTTTTTCTTCTAACATATGAATATTTCAGATTTCTTATGAGCTAAATCATCTAGGTACATCAAACCAAGAAAATGAGTTAGAGTGGTCAATAGCAAGTAAGTTTTGTGAAGTCACTTAAGACAAAGGTAAGTTGTTTAATCTTGTAAACCAGAGGAAGTTATTTCACAGATGTGACAGCTTATTTTCTATAGAATTTTTAAAAAATTAAATTTATAAATCCATCTGATTACCTTGAAATATTGAGTAAAAAATATCTTTGTTATTTTACTGCATAATCACAATTCTGTGATAAATAGACCAGATCATTGACAAAACTTTCAAACACATAATACAGTATTTGCCTCTCCTAATAGCAAGAGTTGTAGAAGCTTCCATTTTTCTTTTCCATTTTTCTTTCCTTTTTTTTTTTTTGAAGTTTTACTTATTTGAGAGAGAGAGAACAAGCGGGAGAGCGAGAACACAAACGGGGAGGGGCAGAGGGAGAGGTAGAAGCATACTCCCCACTGAGCAGGGAGCCTAACTTGGGGGGCTTGATTCCGGTGCTCCAGGATCATGACCTGAGCCTAAGGCAGACCTTAACTGACTGAGCCACCCAGGCACCCCATTCTTCTTCTTTCTTTTTCCCGTTTCTCATCACCATAGCTAGCCTTTAGCAGTTCCCACTAGTGCATATTCATAGTCAAACAAGTCAGTAAGTAACTGGGGGTAAATTTGTAAATTGGATGAATGGTAATTGAGTTTATATAAATAGGAGGAGGAACATATTTATGTTTTAAAGGTTAAAAATTAGAGTACCACTGCTTCTATGGCTCTTACAGAATGATTTTCCAACTTTAAAATCATTTACTATTGCTTATTCCTAGGGGTGTTAAGTATATTAAAAGTAACCTATCAAATCTATAATAATCTGAACTAAACATTTTTCTAATGTCAAATAATGTTGCATTATGAAACCTGTGAACATATTCAGTTATTTTGTCCTTTAAAAATCTTTTTTAGTATGTGAGACTGTCATACGACACCAAACCTGAAGTCATTCTGCAACTTCTGCTTAAAGAATGGCAAATGGAATTACCCAAACTTGTTATCTCTGTGCATGGGGGCATGCAGAAATTTGAGCTTCACCCACGAATCAAGCAGCTGCTTGGAAAGGGTCTTATTAAAGCTGCAGTTACAACCGGAGCCTGGATTTTAACTGGAGGAGTAAACACAGGTAATGTGATGATTATACCAATTTTATTTAGTGTGTGTGTAAATGTTTCACAATATCAATTAAATATTTGAAATAATAATCAACACCAAGTATCAGTATATTCAGTTTTTCTGTTAAATAATCTGTATACTTCCTAAGTATAAATGGTAACTGTAAAGTATTTGGTTTTCATTTACTCTTAAAAAATAATACACTTTAGAGCAGGTATTGACAAACTGTGGTCCCATGCATCAAATCCAACCCATTCTTTGTTTTGGTAGATAAAGGTTTATTGGAACAGAGCCACAATCCTTTGATTTTGTATTATATGTAGTTACATTTGTGTTGCAACAGTAGAGGTGAATAGTTGTGAGACTGTTTACCTTGCAAACCCTAAAATATTTACTGTTTGACCGTTCACACAAAAAGGTTGTTGATCCCTACTACAGAGCAAAGTTTTATTCCTGTCACTTTCTGACTTCTGGTAAATTGATGTAAGAATGGCAGTCCATTGCCTAGGCAGTGGTAAGAACTAGCTTTCAAAATTAGTTTTTAATATACTATAATTTTTCATTGCATATCTTCTCTACGACATATACAGGTTAGATATAAGAAAAGCAAATTTTAATATCCAAAGTAAAATGTAATTATTACTTAAATTAGCTTGCAGACATCTAATTCATTATGAACAACTGGTTTTTGAACCTCATTGTATGTCAGGCATTCTTCTGGCTGCTGAAGATATAGCATTCACAAAACAAAATGTTTACCTTAGTGGAACTTATATTCTAGTGGAGAAGATGTAGATAACAAACAGATAACTAAATATGTTATATGTTAGATGATAAGTGCTATGGGGACAGATGAAATACAGAGAAGGGATGGTAGAGAGGGCTTCATTAATAAGGTGACATTTGAGTAGAGATTGAAGGAAATGAGGGAGCATGGTAAGGATAATGTGAGGCAGAGCATTTAAAAGAGAAAAAACTGCTGGTGTGTTGGAAGAATGGTAAGAAGGGTCCAATGTAGCTAAGTAGAATGAACCCAAGGAGTGCTAGGTGATGAGGTCAGGAAGTTATGGGAGTGGGGTAGGGTGGTGAATAGCAGGGGCAATAGGCACATCATTATATAAAGCCATATAGGCTATTATAAGCACTTTCGTGTTTGCTTTGAATAAGAAGGGAAGATTTTAAGCAGAGAGTTGACAAGAGCAAAGATCACTTGGATGATGTTTTGAAAATAGACTGAACAGGCAAGGCAGCAACTGGAAGACCAGTGAAGATGCTATTTCCATAATCCGGGTGAGGAATGAGATCTCATGCATTAAAAAAGGAAATTGAGTGTTGTATTGGTTTTCTAGGGCTGCCGTAACAAAAGACCACAGACTGGGTGGCTTAAACAAAATTAATTTATTTTCTCACAGTTTTGGAGGTCCAAGATCAAGATGTTAGCAGGTTGGTTCCTTCTGAGGCCTCTCTCTGTGGCTTGTAGATGACCACCTTCTCACTGTGGCCTCTTCACCACGCATGTGCATTCCTGGTGGCTCTTTTTGTGTCCCAAAATTTCACCTTCTTAAAAGGACACCAGGCAGATTGATTAGGTCCCACCCTAGTGGCCTCATTTTTAAATGTATAACCTCTTTAAAGGACCTGTCTCCAAATATGGTCACACTTCGAGGTACTGGGATTAGGATTTCAATATATGAATTTTGGGAAGGATACAATTCAACCCCTAAGTGATAATGAGGAGTCATATGCTCTTTTGAATTGTCTTTTCTACTTTTCTCCTAATTTTTGATTCAGTTGGACAACTTTTGTAGTTGCTTGTTGTGTGTGTGTGTTTTGCTTATGGTCCTGAGCCATACTCTTCATTTTTTTTTAGATGATGTGTAGAGCAATAACAAAAAACTACAGTTACTTACAGGAGGAATCTAAGAGAGGACTAGGCCTAACAACATGGTAAAAGTTACTTTTACGTGTGTTTCAGGCAGTTGTAGTGATTTGACATTGTGGGGTTTTTTTGTTTTGTTTTGTTTTGTTTTGTTTTGTTTTTGGTCCTTGTGTTTTCTTTTGTAAGTTTGTCTTTTGGACCTTGTTGCTTTTTATCTTCGTGTAAAGAAAAATATCAACAATTATAATGTTATAGATTGAGTACAGGATTATTCTGAAAACAGTAACTACTTTCACATAAGGTAAATTAAATTTTATATGAACAGGTGTGGCAAAACATGTTGGTGATGCCCTCAAAGAACATGCTTCCAGATCATCTCGAAAGATTTGCACTATTGGAATAGCACCCTGGGGAGTGATTGAAAACAGAAATGATCTTGTTGGGAGAGATGTAAGAATGATTTTAAAAATTTCTTATATTTGAACTTGTATAAACAAAATTAGAGCAAGAATAGTGCAAGTCACCTTAAACTATTCATGATCATACCATACTTTTCAAATTATGTTTAAAAAGTATTTTCCTGAGGGGCACCTGGGTGGCTCAGTTGTTGAGTGTCTGCCTTCGGCTCAGGTCATGATCCAGAGTCCTGGGATTGAGCCCCACATCGGGCTCCCTCCTCCGTAGGGAGCCTGCTTCTCCCTCTCCCATTCCCCCTGCTTGTGCCCCCTCTCTCGCTGTGTCTCTCTCTGTCAAATAAATAAAATCTTAAAAAAAAAAAAAGGTATTTTCCTGAGGTTTTCTTTTCCTTTTTTCCTGAGGTTTTCTTATGATCCTTCCAAGAATGCATTCATAGATATAAGTAATTGTCGTTATAGTATTAGTACGTTTTGGTTTCGGCCTTTCTCTATAACTATTTTACAACTTTTCCAAATCATGCTAGTCTTTGTAATTAAATTTTTAATGACTGTATGTTATTAAGAACTAATTTTACTGTCACTAAGTTAGTAATCAAATGTTAGTGTTTTATTTGAGTAGGTTAAGGACATGTGAATTGGTTATTAATATTTATCAAGAGAGTACTAAAAAAGAATTACTGAATTATAATGATCACTTTCAAGTGCAATTAAATTTCTAATATCAATTTTAAAGATTGTATGAGGGCTAGAAAAATGGAAACTATAATTGATATTAGATTGTTCTTATTCAGTGTCCTTTGTGTATTACACTTTATTCATTAATAACCTAACAGTTTCTTCATACTATATACTCATTTATTTTGTTTCTTTTGCATGTGATAATAAAATAATATATATTCTGCAATAAGAGTTGAAATATAATTGTATGGTCTGACCCATTATTGATTAATCATCAGCTGGCTTAAAAGCTTGTGCTTTTTGACATATTGTTTGACATTTTCTATTTGTTACTATATTGTAAATAGAATTTTACCACCTTCTTGCCTTTACAGATTATTTTAAAGTTTATTTTTTCTTTATATTATATTAAATCCTCCCCACTAACTTATGTTTGCTATTGTTTAGGTGGTTGCTCCTTATCAAACCTTGTTGAACCCTCTGAGCAAATTGAATGTTCTGAATAATCTACATTCCCATTTCATATTGGTGGATGATGGCACTGTTGGAAAGTATGGGGCAGAAGTCAGATTGAGAAGAGAACTTGAAAAAACTATTAATCAGCAAAGAATTCATGCTAGTAAGGGAATTTATAAATTTGTTACTGTTCAAATTATTCTAGGTATATTAATGGCCAGCAACATTCTAAAAAGGTTCTTTAAAGTGCTCATTTCCTTTTGTGGCAAGACAACATATGAAACAACAAAAATGACTGACCTTAGACAAAATAGACTTAGGGAAAGAAGTCTGAGGCCAAATAGGGTACTCAGATATTGATGCCAAAGCCACAGAAGTTCATTGAAAGCTCTTGCTATTGTAATCCTATTGCAGCCCAAGGAATTCAGAAATATTTTTAATGTGTGATATATTCTAATACATGACTTGAAATTCAGGATTGAAGAGGAAAAAGGAATACTTTATTGCAAAGTAAGAATCATCTTGTTTAAAGTTTATAGCATGAATAGGTGTCACTCTTTGGTAGTTAAGTCTTAAAAGTTGGTATTCTTGACACTTGTCTTTCTTACCAACCACGATCATACTTCCTGGTTCAACATTTAGATTTTAGTTTCAGAAAGAAGAAATTTTATAATCCAAGGAAGGTGGGCTCTGTGACAAAGTGAAATAGAAATACAAAATTATAGAACAGTGCATTCAGATATGATGGAGTCATATCCCCTCCCGAAATTTAGGAACATTTTAGAATCCTACAGTTACTTGTATTTTGGATTCTCTCACTGCATTGCAGGTTATTGTAAAAACAAAAATTGGTATTCTTCACTAAATCTTTTCTGTTACTCTTGTAGAGGTTCTGGATTTTATTGATCAGTTCCATTTATATAATCCTGACTGTCATTAACTTCTATATTAATGTCTCAATGCATTTGAAATCAGAAATATACATTTTAAAAGTGAATAAAAACAAATATACATTAGAAGTTCAATTCATACAGTATTGAAAAGCAAACTAGGGTTACCTGGGTGGCTCAGTCGTTAAGCGTCTGCCTTCGGCTCAGGTCATGGTCCCAGGGTCCTGGGATCGAGCCCTGCGTTGGGCTCCCTACTCGGTGGGAGGCCTGCTCCTCCCTCTCCCACTCCCCCTGCTTGTGTTCCCTCTCTTGCGCGCGGTCTCTCTCTCTGTCAAATAAATAAATAAATCTTTAAAAAAAAAAAAAGAAAAGCAAATTAGGGGTGCCTGGGTGGCTTATTTGGTGGAGCATATGACTCTTGATCTTGGGGTTGTAAGTTAGAGCCCCACCTTGAGTGAAGGGATTACTTAAAAAAAATCTTTAAAAAACAAACTAAAAAACAAATTGGTGTTATAAATTTCTTGTCAAGAGTTCAATTAGTGAAATATACAAAATAATTTTCACTTTTCAGTGAATCTGAATTCTAGTGCATGCCTAATCATTTATTTTCTAACTTTGTCATTTAGAACGACTTTAAGTTAATGAAAAAGTAATTCATTCAGTATTTAATTCACTTAGGCTAGATTGGTATCGTGTTGAATGCTTGAAATGAAGTCAACACAGTCTTAAAAGAAACTATATTTTGGCTTTTAATTTTTATTTTGTGTTTTGATTAAGTAAAAAATAAGATTAAACTACTGTATTTTGCCTAATGTCTTATAAACTTTTACTTTTTTAAGGAATTGGACAAGGTGTCCCTGTGGTGGCACTTATATTTGAGGGCGGGCCAAATGTTATCCTCACAGTTTTAGAGTATCTTCAAGAAAGTCCTCCTGTTCCAGTCGTTGTTTGTGAAGGAACAGGCAGAGCTGCAGATCTACTAGCATATATTCATAAGCAAACAGAAGAGGGAGGGTAAGTGTGTGATTACAAAAAGATTTCAGTAACTATGTAAAGAGGCTTGTGGCTTTTAGAGTATTAGATTCATTTCAGTATTTTATGAACATGAAAATTTAAAGGTTAATACAGTACCTTGTACAGTTTGAGGAAATAGCTTATCTAATACATTATTGGAATGAATTAAAATATAAGTCTACATAGAGAACAATTTTGCAAGATCTGTCAAACATACAGAGGCACATATTTTTGGGCCCATTAGATCCATTTCTAGGAATTGTTTATACAGATGTACTTTTTTATACATGTGAAATACATAAAAAGTTACTCATTACATAAGTGTTTATAAAAGTAAAAGATTGGTACAAAATAGAATGTATATCAAGAGGGCTAGATAAATTGTGGTATATCTACATAACAGAATAGTTTGTAGCTAAGAAAGGTTGGTATCTGTGTACTAGATTTGGGAAATTACCAAAGTATATGTATGGAAAAAGGAAAGCAGTTGAGATGGAACTGGGCAGATGGAAGATAGTGGGAAAGAGACTTTCACGATGAATTTTCATTTTTATGTTTAATAATGTTTTATATCATCATATTTTTGAGCCATATAAATATATTAACTATGAGGAAGAGAGAAAAATGTGAATGTGCTCATGTGTAAGACATCTTGAAGTATTGCTTAATACACCATAATATCTTAAAATTAGGTTTATAGAGTATCTTATAAAATGTGAGTAGTGCTGTTGCAGCACATGCCTTGTAAAACAATTTAAAATAATTCAAAGAACTCTGAGAAACAAACTGAGGGCTCTAGAGGGGAGGGGGCTGGGTCAGCCTGGTGATGGGTATTAAAGAGGGCACGTACTGCATGGAGCACTGGGTGTTACACGCAAACAATGAATCATGGAACACTACATCAAAAACTAATGATGTATGGTGATTAACATAACTTAATAAAATTAAAAAAAAATAATTCAAAGAGAAAAATAACTCCATTTTCCCCCCATATGACTTATAGTTGGGAGTCTCATAAAGGATAATATTTCACTCAGGGTCAAGTATTTAATATTAATACATTATCTCTAAAGGTCTTACATGGATTCACCTATACTTCATATTAGATTCTACAAATAATAGAAATTGAAATCAGTGAATTAATTATGTTTGCTCTCCAGCAATCTTCCTGATGCAGCAGAGCCAGATATTATTTCAACCATCAAAAAAACATTTAACTTTGGCCAGAATGAAGCAGTTCATTTATTTCAAACACTGATGGAGTGCATGAAAAGAAAGGAGCTTGTAAGTAGATTTCAGCAGAATAAGCCTTTTTATTTCATTCAAAACACATTATAAAATAGGTGAAATATTTTTTTTTTAAGATTTTATTTATTTTGAAAGGAAAGAGAGTGCATGTGGGGTGGGGCAAAGGGGGAGGGTCGGGGAGAAAGAAAGAATCCGAAGCAAAATCTGCACTGAGCACTGAGCCCCATGTGGGGCTCCATCCTGGGGCTCGATCCTGTGACTGCGAGATCATGACCTGAGCCAAAACCAAGAGTTGGACACTTACCCAACAGAATGAGCCACTCAAGCACCCTGAAATACTTTTGCTTTTAATTTGGATTTAAAATTTTAAAGTATTTTTTAACCATGTAAAGATGTCATTTATTGGGATCTGGGTGGCTCAGTCGTTAAGCGTCTGCCTTCGGCTCGGGTCATGATCCCAGGATCTTGGGATCGAGCCCCGCATCGGGCTCCCTGCTCTGCGGGAGGCCTGCATCTCCCTCTCCCACTCCCCCTGCTTGTGTTCCCTCTCTCACTGTGTCTCTCTCTCTCAAATAAATAAATAAAATCTTGAAGAAAAAAAGTCATTTATTGTTTTCTTCAAACAGAGTGATATCAGAGAAGGATTATAGTTTTTATATGGTATTGAGACATATATTTGCACTTCTGTTTTAGGAAAAGTTTGATAACTAGGCCTCAACAGATTATATCTAGAATCAAGGAAGAACTGTAAAGAGTAGTTAAAGGCTTCTCTAAAATATATTTGGAGGAGCGCCTGGCTGGCTCAGTCAGTAGAGCAAAGCAACTCTTGATCTCAGGGTTGTACGTTCGAGCCCCACATTGGGTGTAGAGATTACTGAAAAAAAAAAAACTCAAAAAAAAAATAGAATATATTTGGAAAAAAATTTATTTTACTCTGAATGCTCAAATTAAAGATCAGTGTTGCTTAATTTCAGTTATCTAAACATAGGCTTAAGTTTTCAGAGATAAAATTTTTTAACAACTATGACAGGTGGATGATAACATGATTTGATCTGCTGTTTTTCATGCATTTCCTTTTTGTACACAATAAAGTTGCAAAATGTGTATGGGGTTATGATAGTCTTCTACTTTATGAAAAAATGTTATTAAATAAGAACCTCTCAAGTGGCATTTCACTTCAAATAATTTAAAGAAATTTCCAGTAAAAGGATTGAAGAAAACATTTTTCATTCAAGAACACTATTATATAGGGACGCCTGGGTGGCTCAGTTGGTTCAGCGCCTGCCTTCGGCTCAGGTCATGATCCCAGGGTCCTGGGATCGAGTCCTGCATTGGGCTCCCTGCTCAGCGGGGAGCTTTCTCTTCCCTCTGCCTGCCGCTGCCCCTGCTTGTGTACACTCTCTCTCTTTCTCTCTGACCAATAAATAAACTCTTAAAAAACAAAACAAAAAAAACACATATATACATTACTTGAGTTAAATGTTCACTCTGCAGGAAGAACATCAGGATTTACTCAGACATATAATCTGTAGTCTTAGGCCATAAGTTGCTCACTCTAGTAAAGGACCTAAGATAGGTCAAAAAATGAATATAATATGAAACTAAATATTTTTAGTATACTTGCCATTTTTATTTGGTAAATGATAGGAGTTTTTTAATTTTGTGGGGATTTTTGGTTGAAATGAAGTAATTTCTGATCAAAAACCCCCCAAAACATTATCTCCCATGTAGTCTGAAATTACTTTTTTTATATACCTTATGCCTTAGCTTTGAAAATATAAAGGCATAATATTATGAATTGATCTTTAGATCACGGTTTTCCACATTGGATCAGATGAACATCAAGATATAGATGTAGCAATACTTACTGCACTGCTTAAAGGTAAGATTTAAAAATTTTTTTATTTGTAATATCTTATTTATAGCCTATTTATATAAGATAGAACTTTTTAATCTAGCTAAATGTTTGGGAACTGAATTTTTCAATAATTGTTCTTTGTGGAAGACACAGTGTTACCTTTCTGTGACAGTAAATGGGCTTTTGTTTTGTCTTGTAGAAATTTAAAAAAATTTTTAATTTCTAGCAGGGTTTTTGCCAGCAGACCCATTTAATTACAGTATTAAGAATGTTGCGCATTTTTAATTGGCTGAAAGCAAGTGTTTAAAGGTAACGAGGTCTTGGTTGATAGAAATTAAAACATTCTTAAACATGCTGTTTTCATTCTGAAAGGAAGTTTGGAAAGAAAGCTAGTGGTATCTTTGAGGACTAAAGGGTTAACACACATCCCATTGAACTGTGTTGTCCTCTCATCTTGCCAAAGACATCCAACCGATAAACAGAATTACAGTGAAAAATCTTGCCAAAAATTAGAAGCTGAAACAGTGTCCCATCTGGGTGGGTACTTGAAAGTCCAGGTATGCAGTGAAGTGACAGGAGCAGAGCAAGAGGACACCGTGTTGTTGTTATTCACAAGAATTTCCCAAATATTAGACCATAATAAATTGCCAATAGAATAAACATTTAAAAAATACTATAATAAAATATATTTACATCTTGGGAAAAAGATATCATAAATAATAGAAAATCAGAAACTCTTATAAAGGGAAAGATCAATAAATGGGATTGCATACATAGAAAAAATAAAAAGAGAACACCTAACCTAATATTTGCCATAGACTTCTTTGTGCTAGCCACTGTGTTTTAGTGTTTTATACTGTTTATCATTTAATCTCACAACAACCCTAGGAGGCAGATTTCCTATTATTTCCTCATTTTATAGGTGAGGAAATTAAGGAATAGGAATCTGGAGGGACCACAAAGAGTTGTTATAAACTAATAGTAAGATGATGACTACCTCATGGAAAAGTGAGTCAATTTATGTAAAAGATGTTACCAGAATAATATAAATGCTTGGGAAAAATGTGGAAAGATGGTTAATATTATAATTAAAACAAAGTATCATTCTCAATGGGGAAAAACTGAGAGCTTTCCCCCTAAGGTCAGGAACGCGGCAGGGATGTCCACTATCACCACTGCTATTCAACATAGTAT